GCAATACCAGACGTCTTGTTTATTAAATCGCCTTAATCGGAAATATAAAAGGTCCTTATTTTGTGATAAAAATGGCGAAATTTTTAAAGGAAAATTTCGACAAAAAAGAAAACTTTGATTTGGAAGGTGGAAGTACTAGCATTTGCGAAGCAGCGAAAAACCTTTTCAGGCTTTTCTAGTTTTTTTTACATGCTTGCTAACTTGTTTATGTGTTAGTTTTAAAAATGCAACGTTTTTTATGTTTATAACTATTAGCAACTTACTGAAACACTATCTGAATTTATATACAAAACGAATATTTTTCTGAATGATTCAACACTTCGACGCCCTACTAATAATTGCCGCTTAGCGCTGTTAATTGTTAACATAGCTTGATAATGCAAATCTTGTGACATTTGCACTAATAACAGTATGTGCTACATTAATATTTTGTCAAAACTTGATTTTTCTTGACGGTCAGCACTTCAGTTTGGCTTAAAAAGAAACACGTTAAAAATACCGGAATACCGGTATTTACCGGTATTCTGATGGCGGTATATCGGTATTCGGTATTTGCGATATCGATCCAGCCTATGTATATATGTTATCATACGCTTCCTTAGATACTTGGCATATGCCAAGAATTTTCAGCGTACAATTGTACATCTGTTTTTTAACCCCTATTGATGTGAGACCAACTAACTCATTGTGCAAGACTCTCACCTTGATGAGTAATATCATCTGGCATTAGACAGAGTATAGTAATAAAGTGTCTGTAGTGCATTGGGGAGCATTAATGGGTTAAAGTCTATATGTGATGGGATTATTTAAAAGGCCTTCATAGTCCTCATACATATACAGGAACCATATTAGTACACAATTGTGTTCATGTGTGAGATAGGTAAAGGGTTTATGGCATGAGATGATGGGTGAAAAATTGTTAGTTTGATACATACAGGATGTCCCACATTTTAAAACTGGTACCAAACACTGTGGACCAATGAATATATAAATATACTATATAAATTGTCAAATTTGGTAAATCTGTAAACCCAAATTTTCTGTAATATCTTTAAAACAAAGGCAAATTTTCTGTAATACCTTTTGCCTGACCAGGATTAACAACATTTCCACGTACAAATGTCTTTCCTTTTGATGCTGCCCCTTCAAATGATGCTACAAATTCTTCAAAAACGTCAGCACAATTTGCTTCTTCAACCTATATATGACCAATTGATGATTTGATCATGGCAAATTTTAAATGCAAGTAAGTTGTCTTTCAAATTTATAACTAATAAGAGGACAAATTTGGCAACAGGCACTAAAAAAGTTCTTAGACTAAATTTGAGTATCTAGTTTAGATCTTTTTAAATTTCATACAGTATTAATTACATGAACAGAAATACACATTAAATGATACACAAAACTAAATGCTGTTCTTTTATTCGCTTAGTTATATGTATCACTGAAAGGGATTTCAACTTTTCCATGTGTATATGTGCGTATGAGTGAAAAGCAGCCATATTAAAGTAGTAAATCCTATATATCAACTGCTTTCAATTTATAAAAAAAACATTTACAACCATTTTAAATGTGTTGGTACATCGTTGAAAAGTATGTGTTATTCATCCCTTGGAAACACATCATTGCTTTTCAGTGATTGATTAGTGCTTTTTACATGTATACAGTACATATCGTAATTATGAAACATGAGAATGTATCATAATCTTAAAAGATACGTGTATGTATTTACATGTATGTATTTTCTAAGTGTCTATGACATCACAAGGCTTGATGCCCGCCAGGAATGCTTGTCATAGTAGTCATTGTCCAGGAGAATTAAACAATTCAAAATGGTCACTATCGAATCCTCAAGCCTTGTGACGTCATTATGCATAAGGGCTATTAGCTTGCCTCCATATAAACACTTTCTAAAATCTTAGGGGCATTCTGTTTTCAAAATTTAAAGATCTCCAGTGAAGAACATTTACAACATGGGTCAGTGAAGAAAAATCCACATATCCCTCAAGGAAGAAATTGGAAGTTAGTCTCCCCCCCTCTCCCTTAGTAGGGTATGGCAAACTCGATAATTGGGGGGGGGGGCAATATTCATGTATTCATGTTCTGCATCATTAATTTTTTTTGAAATATATTGTATATGAATATCGCCCCCCCCCCCATTATCAAGTTTGCTACGCCACTGCTACCCCCTTCGGACATCCAGGCACATTTTACTATTATCAGAAGTAGATTCTCCTGGATGGCAGAAATTTCCTTCACAGGGGGAACCAAATACAGCTTTGGCCCTTCTTGTAATTCTCTAGTCTGTCTGGTGTATTCGCATTACTCCCCTTGATGAGGTAAATTGTCTGGCATTAGACAGAGTGAAATAATAAAGTAGGGTGCCTCAGGGTCAGGCCTCGTATTTCCCTGAAATCAATCGACGGCAATGGCAGTAACAGCTGCCTACGGCAATTTTGGCAGCTTCCACAGCATTTTTCAAATTACTGTAAAAAACTTTACTTTTATTGTTACTTCGGATTTTTGACAAGCTAGAAACATGTCTACGTATTGCTTTAGTGTGTTTTTTTTTCGAAGAAAACTGAGACTAAAATAGTGATTTACACATGATTTGATCAACATCTGAATTCAGGTATCAAAGTAGTAATGCACAGTGAATTATAGTATAAAAATTGCACTATACGGCAAAAAATTGCCGTCGTTGCAGCAATGATCCATGACATTTTGTTCTCCCTCTAAGGCAATTGCTGCGATAAAATTTGAGCCCTGCTCAGGATGCATTGCCACTTAAAGGGTTAACCTATTTGGAGGTGTGTTTACAGCAACATCTCCTGTCTAGTGGTGTGATACTGTCATCTGTCTAGCAGTCCAGGCATAACACAAGTTTAATTTGGTCTATACTATGGAATGTAATTGACTTTGGATATGAATGCATGTAATGTATTGTAGTATATGACCTCCCTTCCCCTAACTATATGGAAGTGTTTAGCTGCCAGCTGCATTCTACACGACTGCCTCGTTCTTTGAATAACCGCTTCTATCTGGTTCTTCGATAGTCAAATAAAGCTGTCTTGGGTAAATAGAGATTTATTTAATAAAGAACAAGGGGGGGAGGGGGGTCATATACTACCATATCACAGAATAGAGACAAACAGAAGACCAACTTCTTGGTTTTTCCTATGATTTGGGCATAACCGTAATTTGTCATCAAAATGCTGACACCATGGTCCTAGCCAGTGCGCTCATGAGAGGCATTCATCTCCCCCCCCTGATAATATTCAAAATGGTGGACGTCCAGGGGTTGAATGCATAGATATGGTTGAATGCTTCTCATAAGAGCATGGTGTCAGCATTTTGAAGACAAATCATTGCGAAACATGGCGTGGCAGTGGTTATGCTTTTTTGGCTGAGTTAACCTTCTGTGTGTCTTTATTCTGTGCAGACGGTATGGAGGTCGTACTACAAAATCATATTAATATATAATCATACATATGTTATAAACAGAAAATAGAAACATAAATAACAGATCTAAGTCTTTACCTTTTTCTTTTGCTCAACCTCCTGTTTTGGTTTGACTTTTTTCAACATTTTAACACCACTACTGCCAGCTATTACTGTATTTTATACAACTTTAATTCTTCAGAAACCTTGTGTAAAAATGCGCGAAATTTCGCCCTCGCTATGTCTCCAAATTGAAACTATGCATATAATTCAAAAATAAAATATACAGTCAAATATCACGAACATATTTGGAAAAAGCTTCATATATTTCATACAAACGGTACAAACACAACTTTATAAACAGACTCCATTTTCCTCCTCCTCAAGCACACCGCGACACTTCCCATGACACCACGCGACATGGGCACCAGTTATCCCCAGTTATCCAGTAATTATCATCACTAACATGTATATTTGTTTCTCATGAAGATTCTCAGAAAGTTTATAGTATATATACATGGCAGGCAAAGGTATGTATTCCAAATATTTATAGGAATATATGTAGCTAAGTAGCTTCATCACTGTATCCCCCAGTAAAATAAATAATCACTTAATGAACGTAATAAGCCATCGCAGAGGTGGTCATGATTTCCTTCACTGGTCATCAATATCATTATAATATTAATTATGTCTGGTTTCAAACAAAAGCAAAACAAGTCTACAAATGCGTTTGCATTAAAAATTCCATACTAAAAGGAAGATTCATAATATCAAGGAGATTCCAAATGTAGTTGGTCCAAAACCATGCACACCCCATCCACTGCTTTTCCCACTTCCCACCACCAGACCAGACTGGAAAGTTTGAAAATTGCGTGCCGGAGATTTTGAAAATTTAATAGTAAATATATAGAAAGCATCAAAATTGCACGCCGGAGATATCCGCCATGCGATACAAACTTTCCACACTGGCCACCAGGCACCTGAGGGCTCATTAATATTCAGGGTTTCCAATAGAAGCCAGCACCCTGCACAGGGGCGGATTTAGACCGTTGCAACTGTAGCATATGCTACGGTCAGATTTTCCATAGGCCAGTTCTAACATGGATCATAAAATCAATCTAAAATATAATTTAGCAATATTTTGTTTACTTTCCTTGTTTATATTTCAAGGTTTTATTTTATTTAGTTTTATATGTTCTAAAACATTTTATTTTGACAAATTGATGACATTTATAATACGTAACGTTAATTGTTTTAAGAATTCCCGCCTGAAAATACGGTTGTAATTGCCCGTTTGCGGGTCATTACGCAATGGACTATAGCTTAGAAAATATCATCCTTCAGAAATACACCGTAGCGTGTTGCCCATATATGATCAATTTTCGCTACGGTCCGATTCATTAAGGTCGAATCTGACCGTAGCGAAAATTGGCATATACGGCATTCTGATTGGTTTGCTACGGTCAAACGTAGCAAACCAATCGGAATGGGGCAAATGCTATAGTTTGCTACGGTGGCATGAAATTGGCTACTGCTCCAGAACGATGGAATATCTGATATTTGTGTTTGGCTCATCAACAACATGCTATTGGGAACCCACAGTACGGTTGTGCGCATTTCGAAATGAAAGCCGTCGTAAAGCTAAAGGATTTATATGCGTCGAGGTAGAAATAAAATCAGATAGTAAAACGAATCATTTCCAGTCAGGTAAGCCTTATGAATGATAAGAGATGCACATTATATTTTAATTTGAGTTTTTACTGTATATGTTCGCTATTAACTTCGCTTTATTAAAGTGTTTGTGCGCGTATGTACAGTATACCTGCATGTATTGAAATTAATACGCGAATTATGATACGCGCGTATATATATCGTGTTTTATAGCGCGCTAATATTTGTTTGTAATGCGTATATATTCGTAAGATACGCGTATTCATATCATAATACGCGCGTTCATATGATATGCGTATTCGTATGATACACGCGTTCGTAGATGATACGCGCATTTCGGTATTCAATTGATAATGATATGCGTATGATACGAGTATCACACCTATATCGTATGTTAAAATATACGCGAGCAATAGTTTACATTTTGAGATCATTTCGGCTTATTTTTGCTTGAGAAATGAATACAATGAGGGCAAATTTAATGGTCACATGCAGTGCTCAGAACGCAGGAAATGGCATTTCCGGCTTCAAATTTCAAAAATTTTCCGGGGGGCATGCCCCCGGACCCCCCTAGCTATGCGAGGTCTTGGAAAATGCTACGGTCAGATTTTTGGCTGGATCCGCCCCTGCTGCACTTTTCGCAGGCTATATGGTAGCTAGCAATCACCAGCTATTTCGCCAGATTATAAACCAAAATATTTCCACGTACCAAAGAAATGTCAAGGGAAAGATTTTATTGTTTGTCAAATTTTGGATAAGACAAAATCAGCAAAGTGCACAGTCATCCAAAGTTTTTTTTGTGGGTGTCCTCGCAGTTCTAGGACTGTGACTTTCCCAATGTTTGTGAATGGCCAGTGTGCATTCCATGCACTCCACGCCAGATATATCCGGCGTGACGTTGCAAAATTGTTGGCGTAATGGTGTGAGATCACTTGAAAGCAAGTTTTTAGTTTGTGCCTGATTTCATGGCCACATATAAATTGACAGTATAACTACACGAATATGATTTTGACATGCAGTACATATTTATTAAAAACATACCATATTAGCTATTTTCAAAACATGGATTTAAGTCCCCAAAATTGAAAATCTCTGATGCATTGGCGTAAAGGATCGTACATGTTGGCATATCTCCGGCGTAGAGTTTACATGGAATGCACCCTGGGTGAATGGCCTATGGAGATGAAAGCATTACAAAGTCTAATTTTGAAAGTAGCTTACACATTTTCATAATCCAAATTTGTTTGTAAATTATCAACCAAAAATGGTGTATGAGTTATTAGTACATAATTGCAAAGTAACCATTGCCATTGTGGGGTTAGGGTATTTTCCCAAGAAAATGTTTCTTATTTTGACTAGGTATTCTTAGGTGAATAACGTCTAAATTCACTATAGCTTTGTCTTGGCACCAGGATATGAGAGTAGTAAAACTGGGGGGAGGGGATATTATGGAATGCCAAAGACAGAAGATGGCTTCGGGGGCATGCTTCCGTAGGAAAATTTTGAAATCTAGAGTCCATGATTGAAATGTGATTTCCAACATTGTGAGGTAAGATTATTATACAGAATTCTGAAGATTGTATAATAGTAGATTCGAGATCGGAAAGTGTTAAACTCGATCTGCAGGCATTCTGTGCAGGTTTTGTGATATGTCTATTAACAATTTGCAAGTCCTTTGTTTATCGCTTTAAGACTCTTTTCTACATATGGCATGCACAAATTCATCATCTGTTGTGGATGAAAACTGGACTGACAATCTTAGGCTATGTGTACACGGGCGTCGTTTTGCAGCGTTTTCAAAAACGTTTTTGTCCGTAAAATGGTTTTGACGCCGTATTCGCACAGTCCAAAGGAAAATATCTCGGATATATTAAATAAACTACAACTTCTGTCATAAATTGATAGTGTTTGTATCCGTTTTAGCGTGAAAACACAAATGAAAACGCTCGAAAACGTTACCGTGTGCACATACTCACATTAGTCTTAATCGTACAAATATTTCGGGACTCAACAGGGACTGACTTTGAGGACCTATATGAATTTCTATATCGGGTGGGATTCCATTTGGGAAATTCCTTCATGTTTGGTTCACATTTTGGGGTGGGCTATTGGAAATTCTAGATGTCCTCAACAGATGATGCGAGGGGGGGGGGGGGGGGGGG